CATACATACATACACACATACACACACATCCACATGCATACATACACAACCACATACATACATACATACGCACATCCGTACACACATACATGCACACACGCACACATGCAGACATGCACACGTACTCACTTACATACATACATACATGCACATGCACACATACATATACATTTGCACACATACATGCATGCATACATACATCCATATAAACATACATACATACATGTATACATACATACTTACATACATACATACACATACATACACACATACACATACATACATACACATATACACACAAACATCCTTCCATCCAGTTACATGAATCCGTCTATCCATCAATCCAGATGCATATACATACATACATCCGCCCATACAAACAAACATACATGCATACGTACACACATACACACAAACACATATATTCGTACCGTGTGAGAGAGGTAGACGTAGAGAGAAAGAGAAAGAGAGAGGGAACGAGAGAGATAGAGAGAGAGAGAGAGAGAACGAACAAAGTGGACGAGTAAGATGAGGATGGGGAGAAGGAGGAGGAGGAAGAGGAGGAGGAGGAAGAGGAGGATGAGGATTTGAGGTAATATCGTTTTGGGGCGCCTTAGCCTTAGCCCCGTTAGTGGGCGCAATTTCCTGGAGTCACCACCCTGCAGGGCACGGTGGTCCGATGTAGCATATGGCCTGGGGCCATCTGGGTTGGACCTCACGAGATGGGCCAACGAGTCAAGAGAGCCTGGGCACTGGCCAATGCGCTGCAGTTCCAGTTTGGGAATGCATCTTGGCACTTTCAAGGCCGCCTGAATTCATTGGCACCTTACTTGTTAACTTGGTATCGTAGCCCTTCAGCAGATCGGAGATATACACACCTGTCTCTCTTAATACTCATTCCTTTCTCCTTGACCTGTCTTCTTCAACGTTGCAGTATTTTCAAGTGAGATCTGATGATGCGGGTCGAGGAAGAGAACAGGTGGTGGGAGGAGACTTGAGAATATGCGGGTGCAGTGCGGCTGGACAGTTGTGCACAGCGAGCACATCAGAGGATTTGTTAGTCAGTGTGGCTGTTGATGTCTGTCTGCAACATGGCATGACGTCATCTCGCTGCCAGCGCCGGCACCGTTGACCATCTTTCTGCCGTGCGGACGGGCTGGGGTGCAAAGAGATCATACGTCGGGAAGTTCGATAAGGACGTGTCTGAAACAGAACCACGGTAAGGTCATTTAAACGGGTCTCGGGACCTCCCTCACAGGGGGGGAGGAAGGCACAAACTGAAGATGCACCAGATGGCTCTCGCATGCCTCTCCAGGGCTTTCACTTGAGGGCTCACCTGAGGGCCACACAATTGCGTCGCAGGAGCGCCAGAGCACCTCCTCCATGGAGCATGCAGGGCCACACTCGGGTTATCGGGACACCGAGGGACCCTGCTCGTCCTTGTCCCTCCTCCTTCTCCTTCTCTTCCTCCTCCTCTTCCTCCTCCTCGAAGTGGAAGAGAAGTGAGCCGAGCGAGAGAGGAGAAATTATGCTATAATAAAATCAGTAGGGTAATCAGGCCCCCCAGCAAAAGTTTGGGAAGCACGGGCCTCCCGTCCCTCCCCTCCTCTTCCTTCTGAGTTATCGTGTCGTCGTCTCCCCCCCCATGCTCCCCCCGCATTGACCCGCAGGGACTAGTAATCGTAAGGTAGCGAGTCTCTCTTACGGGGCCACCTCGGAGCTCACTTCTTGAGCAACGGAGTATGCCCCCTGCCGGCCCTAGTGAGAAGGCAGGGCCGTTGCACAGCCAGTCGCAGGAGATTTTGCCAGAAACGCACAAGGCACCTGCGTAGGTGTTATGACGTCGAGTTCCCTTCTGCGGATGCCATGTCATGTCCTGTCCTGTCCTCCCTCCTCCTCCTCCCCCTCCTCCTCCTCCTCCTCCACTTTTCCCATTCTTCGCTCCTCGTGCCCCTCCGTCCCCTCCTCCCTGTGAGTCATTCCTCGCCTTGTCTTCCTCCTTCCTGATTTCCCCCCTTTTCTCGCTCTTCCCCGTGCTCCCCGGAGGTAGAGGGGGGATCATGGCAAGAACCCGCACGGCGACGAGCTCCTCTTCCTCCTCCTTCCTCTTACTCGTTCATCCATGATCCGTCCTTTGCCCTCCCTCGTCTTTCCGTCTCTCCTCCCGCATCCCCATTCCATGTTCTCTTCTGGGTCCGCCCTCCTCGCTTCCAGGTACACCCTCCTCCCTTATCCCCTCCCGGTCCCCCCCTTCCACTCCTCCTACCCCTTCCTCCTCTCTCTCTCTCTCTCCTGCTGCTACTGCTACTCTTTCTCGTCCTTCTCGCCCCTCTTCGCCACTCCTCGCCATCCGCGTCCTCCTCGTCGTTCTCGTCGTCCTCGTCCTCCTCGCCCTCCTCCTCGCCAGGGGGGGGGGTACGTCGGCAACCACCCGCGCAGCCCAGGAGCTGCGCTACAACAGCGTGGTGGCCGTGAGCCCCGGCAGATATCAGGCGGCCCTCCCGCTCCGAGGGCTCTGTCCGCGAGGCCTCCTTCTTCCTCCTCCCTGCTGTTGATCCTTCTCCCTCCTTCTTCCCTCCTCCCTCCTTCTCCTCACTCCTCCTCCCTCCCCCCTCCTCGGTCCCCTCCTCCTTCCCCTCCTCCTTTCGTCGTCGTCGTCATCATCGTCGGCGGCGGCGGCGGCGTCGGCGTCGCAGTCATCGTCATCGTCGTCGGCGGCGGCGGCGGCGTCGGCGTCGGCGTCGGCGTCGGCGTCGGCGTCGTCGTCGCTGGCGCCGTCGTAGTCGTCGGCGTCGTTGTCGTCGTCGTCGTCGTCGTCGTCGGCAACGACGCGCGCGCCTTCTGGCGATCGGGCGCCCCCGTTGGGCTCCTGCAGCGCCGCCCCCCCCCGCGGGGCGCGGGGACCGGCGCCTCGCCGCGCCCCGTCGCAGGTCGAGCTTGCGGGGCAGGACCCCCGCCGCCGCCGCCGCCCAGACGGGCGGGAGGTGGGCGGGTGGAGGTCGCCACGGGGGAAGCGGGTCCCGAGTGGGGGAACGAAAAGTGGCATAAGCAGAGAAACTCGGAGGTCCGCGCGGATTTCTCGGATCGGCGCCGGGGCCCCCCGGCGGCGCCTCCAGCGCCGCCCTTGGCGCGCTCCGCGCGCCAGGGAGGGGGTTCCAGCGCGGATCCGAGAAATCCGCGCGGACCTCCGAGTTTTTATGTATGTTTATGTCACTTCTTGTCCCCCACCGAGGGAAACGGGTCCCGAGGTCTTTCGCCGTTTTCGGGCTCTCGGGGCCCTCTGCGGGCCCCTGGTCTGTCCGAAAACGACTCCTGATGAAGGTCTCGTTCGAGAGTGACCCTTCGCCGGAGTGACCTTTGGTGCGGGCTCGCCGGGTTCCCCCCCGATCGCTGAGCGCCATGCGACAGCGGCTGCTTGTGCGCCTGGATTTGGTCACCGTGCGCCCCCTCAGTCCGCGCACCAAAGGTCACTCTTGCCCAGGGTCAGTCTTCGAATAGGGGATCGACTACAGAATTGATGTGCCCCAAAACTGACGTTCCCGTCGGATCTGCGAAACATGCGTAATACGTTGTTTTTCGCAGATCTGCGGCGCATCCCATGCACTCTTTGCAGATTCGACGAACAAGTCCATGCTGGGGTTAATCAAATCTATAGAGTGAAGTTGGGCTTGTCCCTCTACAGGAGGAAAATTCAAAAATAGCAAAAGCATGGGGACATTATATAGATGTATACTAATACGATGCATAAACAAATACTTGTTATACATTTTGTTTCGTCCAAAATCCGCGTGCAGGGGGACATGCCCGACCTAACTGTAGAGTCGATCCCCATACCCGAAGCCCTTGCGTGTACTTCGCCGAGGGGAGGCCCCTGGGGCCCCGGGCCCGCTCCCCTCGGGGCCCGCTCCCCCCCGAGGCCGAGGGGCTGGGCGAGAGAGAGGGCGCCGCCCCGGTGCGTCGGGCGGCCCCGGCCCCGCAGGGCTGGGGGAGGAGGGCGTCGGGGAGGGGGGAGGGATCTCGGGGAGCCGGGCGGCGCCGGGGAGGGAAGGGGGGGCGTCGGGGAGGAGGGAGGGGCGTCGGGGAGGAGGGAGGGGCGTCGGGGAGGGAGGGGGGCGTCGGGGAGGAGGGGGCGGCGTCGGGGAGGGAGGGGGGGGAGGCGTCGGGGAGGCGGGCTCCGTCCCCCTCCTCTTTTTTCCCCTGGGCCTTCCCCTCCTCGGCCCCGCCGTCCTCTCGCCCCCGATCTCCTCCACGCTTCGGCGAGGGCCAGGGGCCAGCCCCCCTTTTTGGGGGCGCCGCGGCGAGGCAGGGGCAGGTCCGCACGCGCGCTCGAGCGGGCCGGGAGGAGGCACGCGCGAAGTGATACGGCGGTCGGAGGGGGAGGGAGCGAGGGAACGAGGGGAGCACAGGGAAGACCAGCGGAGGAAGAGACGCCGATGCCGCTGCTCGTCCTGGGGGGCCCCCGTCGCCAGAATGCTGGTCATCCTCGACATGCTGGTCAGAATGCACCCTGGGGGAGGTCCGGGGATGGTACCCTAGAAAAGGAGGCAGAGGCGGAGGCGGAGTCGGCGACGGAGTCGGAGTCGGAGTCGAGTCGGAGTCGCAGTCGGAATCGAGTCGGAGTCGAGTCGGAGGAGGAGGAGGTGGAGGAGGAATCGGAGGAGTCGGAAGAGGATGAGGATTAGGAGGATGAGGAGGATGAGGATAAGGACGAGGATGATGTTGCTGGATTTCCATTTCTCAGAAATAGTTATTGTTGATCCCCCCGTCGGTGCACATGGTGTTTTTTTCAAGCTGCGTTGCTGGGCCCCGGTTCGCAACAGCAGCAACGGCTCCCGCCTGATACTTCCCCACAATTTATTTCAAAATCTTGCGGTCTCGCACGGGACCTCCTCATGATTTATGCAGGAATCGCGCTCTCGCGTGGCACTGCCTCACGATCTATTACGGCGCTGTGCCCCCAAGAAGTTCGCGTGGCGGCGCCGCCTCACACGGTTCGTGGC